TACTTACACACAGCATTCCTAGAAAAAAGGTGAAGCCAGAAGCTCTTGCGACTTACCCTTCCATTGATCTTGCGTCAGGTCTTCAAGAAATGCCAGTCCAAATGGTAGAGCCTGGAAGAAGTTCCTGAGGTTGATCTTTTTTTTAAGCTCCTTGGCAGAAAATAGGTAGTGAGCACCTGTGAGTCAGGAAAGGGGTAGCAGCAGAGACTTCACAGTTTCTGTAACAGCGGATCAGAAAAAAGGTTATAAATGTTGATAAGCAATGTCTCCCCAGAGGCAGTGATTATTTAGAACCTTGAATTCAGTGCTTAGATTTATCCTGTAGGAATATTTCCTGTAGGTATTGGTCACCATTAAAGGTCTCATGGGCAAAGTGAGAGTGGGAGGGTTTTTTTTGTTGAAGATATTCTCCCACTTACATGGGTGTTTCTGTCCTTTGTCACTTGTTCACGAGAATTCACTGTGGTGTGCTGGTGGTGGTTTTCATTGCACATAAAAGTATCTGCCACAGCATTTGTTGCCACATTTCGGCATAGATATTCATGAGCCTGTAGATGTTGTGTTTCCATTGTGGAGGTATCATTAACATGACTGGAGAGATGTACTACAAGTCTTTGCATTTGTTTTGGCAAGATCCAGTTTTGCTTGATGTTTGTTTAGTCCCTAAGAAATGTGGTGCTGATGATGAGTTTGGCAAGACTCAAAACTAGAAGACAGAATTCTGGAATAATTTGTTTTAGAGTGTTTTCTTTGAGCATGGGTTGTAACTGTTTAGATGATTATCCTTGTAGAGTCCAGGATGTGAAATACTTATTGCATTCCTGCTGAATTTCATAGCCATGCTGACTCTTCTAAAACAATGTTTTCTTCACTTTGTAGTCGAGGACCTGCTCTAGTATATAAATAAGCTTAAGTAAGCACCAACAGTGCATGTACACTCCTCCTTCAGGATACGATCCAGCATAATGCTTAATTCTGCACAATTACTAATTCCTTCTGCTGTGCTGTAGCACTGGGTTGGCACGCAAATGCAACTGATCAGTGCCATAAATAGTGGATATGCTTAGCTTTTCCATAGCATTTTAATCTTAACCAAACAACATGACCATACATTTTCACATCTTTCTGTATTACGCTGAGTGTGTCCATTTCAGAAAGAGGGAAAACCGATACTTTTTTAGACATTCAAGACTATCCAACAAGATGTTGATGAAATTCAAATGAGAGCTGTTGCCTGTATCTTGGCTGTCACTTGTAGAAAGCATTGCTTCTCATACACAATCTTAGAAAACATGGCAGGAGCCCATGTAGCAGCTGCAGACGCCATAACTTCATCCTGATGGACTGCCCTCCCCACACCTCGCAGGGTTGCCATCCACAGAGCTGACCTGCAAGCATTCAGTAGGATGGAGGGTGTATAATGCTGCTAATGCCCAGTAATTCAACTGCAGAGAAATTAATATTAAACATGTTTGTGTGTGCATCTGTAATACTTTCCCTACTATCATTATCCAAGCCTAGAAGGGTAATCAAAGCCACATGAAGAACATCTGGATCCAGTGTTGGTTTATATGGCACCTGGCCCTTATTAATAGCAATGAGGAAATGGCAGTTTGGGATTTCTTGACCTCACATGAAATTCATTTCACTGGGCAAAGGTTGCTAACAGATGGCAGCAATTTGGGGCTCATTTCATCATCTGTCACACAGACTTTATTGCTCTGTTTTGGCCCTTTCCTTTGTAAGGAGCTATCCCTTTTTCCACCTCATCTCTTTATAAGGGTTGTCTTTTTCAAAGGGAGTCCTGAAACATCTTGTTAAAGCATGTTATATGCAGCACAAGGATTTAGGTATGGTATGATACAACAAAATGATCCCTTTGAGCATAAATCACTCTTTTACTAACTGTGTTGTAAACTTTTATCTTTTTGAAGTTGGTAGTTTCTTCTGGGTTATTGGCCTCTTTCCAATTTGTTCTTTGTTTCCCCAGCCCACAAATACACTTTTGCACTCAGTCTTTGAGCAAATGAAAGAGCTATGGGAAGACACAACCCCATGACTGTTGACACAATGCACTGTCTCCAACCAGCATTTGTGTCACTGAAGTCTATTTAGAAATGTACCCCAGCGAGCTGCACGCCAGCAAACCCAGTTTTGAAGACTGCATAGCACCTATAGAAGAGATTTGCATTTTGGCATCTACCTTGCTGTCATCATCCTTGGAATTGATTCAGTTATCCTTAGAAAACATCCCAGGTCAAGCAGCCAAGAAGAGATCTTTGGTCCAGCTTGTTCCTAGGTTGGCTGGAATATGACCGGATGTCCTCCCTACTGGCCATGGAGTTAGTCACCGAATGGGACCATTTGTAGTGCTCCTGAAAGGGTAAAATCTTTGAGGGTGTATTTTGCTTTACTTTCGGGGGGATTTTTTTTGTAGTTGCACCTGTTTTGAAGCACGCTAGAAGTAAGATAAAGAAACATGGAAAATACAGATGCAATGCTGTTTAGTATTAAAGAAATACTATGAATTCAAGACCTGGGAAATGATGAGGTTCAATATTTGCTTATTCAGATGTTATGTTAGGCGTTATAGTGATAGCTTCCTCTTGTATGGTGATGGCTGCTGCACTGCGACAATACATATTTACAACCTAGCTATCAAAACAATCAAAATACTTCCCATAGTCAAACACTGGTGTAAATATTACACTGTACTACAGAAAGGAAAAAAAAAAAATACCTGGAATCAATTTATCCTTAGTGCTAGATCAAAATAGTCTTACCTAAGAGCTTGATTATATGAAATATCTGTTCCATCTGTAGATTTGGCCTTTCATGATGCTTTCAGACTGAAACCTCTTGGGGGTTTTATTTATCAAAGTGAAATGCAAGTTGTTCTAACTACTAAAATCATCATGTAATCCAAATTAGGTTTAGATAGAAATGCTTGTATTGTATTTGTGATTTAGTCTGACTACTGTAAATATCCCTACGATTCTGCAAGCTTAAAGCAGATGTGCTTGAATCCACAAAGAATTAAAACAGCAGAGAAATAGAAAATCTTGTTATTTGAACTAATGTAGTTTAGGAAAAACCCTGCTCATGTGGGTATTACTTTTCTTTTCTCTGTTGAAATAAATTCACCAAGTAGGGGTGAGGGGGGTGCTTACTTTAGGAAAGATCTGAATTCAAGTAGCCTCCTGGGACTGAGTAAAAATAAAAGCAGCAGTGCACCCATGGAACAGTCAAGCCCCATCATCTGTACTCATTTGAAAACATGACGTGTTTGCTTCTAGCGGCCTTGGTTCTCCAGATCATTGACAGTTTAATCCTGTGTTTCTGACAACATTAATGGGTTCATCAAGTTAAATAAAATATAGAATTGCAGGAGATCTACATCTTGTAAGTTGGGTTACACTTATGAATGCTCTTGGTACTCGTTTGTGTCAAGGTCAAACTGCTGAACATTGCTGCGTGTCCAGATGTCAGGCATGCCCTGTCTCCACAGGGTTGGAGCAGTTGTGGCAGCCTCGGTTAGTACTGCCCTCTTGGCAAGATCAAACTGCCAAATTCTTAGCTCCAGTTATTTCTCTCAAAAAATTCCTGCAGTCTTTCTGATCCACTGATGTGCAGCCTCCATAGTTGGCTTTGACCTGTTCGAGCTGGATGCTGACAGGTTCATGCCAGCCCAGCCTGTATCTTAGAATTCTCAATGGTTTGAGTTGGAAGGGACCTTAAAGCTCATCTAGTTCCAGCCCCCTGCCATGGGTAGGACACCTTCCACTATACCGGGTTGCTCAACCCCTCCAACCTTGCCTTGAACACTGCCAGGTATGGGGCAGCCACAGCTTCTCTGAACAACCTGTGACAGGGCTTCACCATCCTCACAGAGAAGAACTTCTTCCTACTATCTGATCTAATTTCAATCTCCCCTCTGTCAGTTAAAAGCCATCCCCCTTGTGCTGTCCCTGCAGGCCCTTGTCAAAAGCCCCTCTCCAAGGAGCTTCTTGTCAGCCCCTTTAGGCACTGGAAGCTGCTCTAGGGTCTCCCTGGAGCCTTCTCTTCTCCAGGCTGAACAAGCCCAGCTCTCTCAGCCTGTCTCCATGGCAGAGGCGCTCCAGCCCTTGGAGCATCTTCATGGCCCTCCTCTGGACTCGCTCCAACAGCTCCGCATCCTTCTTATGTTGGGGGCCCCAGAACAGGACATGGTACTTCAGATATCCCTTTCCACATCCCTTCCTTAGTACAGGAAACTGGAAACCTCTGGTCCACAAATCTCCCACTGCCAACAGTGGTAGAACTTAATCACCTTGATACCAAGGATATCAAGAATCTTCATCATCCATTTCATATTCAAAGTCTTATTTCCATTGTCAAGAATGACTGCAGACAGTATGTGTCGTGGTTTAAACCCAGTCAGGTAATTCGTTTGCTCACTTCCCCCCCTTTCTTGCCCTCCCCCTGCTCTCTCAAAAAGAATGCAACTCCCACGGGTTGAGATAAGAACAGTTTAGTAACTAAGGTATAACACAAATCACTACTGCTACCACCAATGATAATAATGATAAAGGAAATAACAAGGGAAGAGAATACAACACCTCAGCACCAGCCGACCAATAACTTGCCCCCCCAGCCCGACCAAGCTCTGACCGATACCTCCTCCAACCCTGCAGTCTCCCAGCCCTTCCGGCTAACTCAGTTACATCCTGGGCATGACGTGCTGTGGTATGGAATACCTCTTTGGTCAGTTTGGGTCAGGTGTCCTGTCTCTGCTTCCTCCCAGCTTCCCCTCCTCCCTGGCAGAGCATGAGGCTCACAAAGTCCTTGGCCAAACCAAAACATCGCTTGTTATCAGCTCCGTTCCCGAGCTGAAAGACAAAACATTGCACTGCACCAGCTACCAAGAAGGGGAAAAATGACTGCTACTGCTGAACCCAGGACATTATGTCATCTGTGACATCAGGAGTTGCCTCATGGTATCATCATCTCCTTTGACTGCAGGAGTAGCCTTTGGCAAAGGCCATCAAGAAGAAGCAGGCAGGAGCTCTGAGCTCCATCATGTTCAGCCTCCCTATCAGGGACGCAACTGCCAAAGCTCTTGGTAGGTTTATAGCACAATTACTCGATGTGGTTATATGTGATAAGAGATCAGGCTTGATGTCTAGAAAGCCTTTCCCAGCCCTGTGCTACCCTAAAAAGCAACAGGTAACTGAAGATCATTAGAAGAATTCATGATTTTTAGAGACTCTTTTGATAGTTTCATCATCAGTGAAGCCTCTTAAGAGATTTGATAGTGTGGATGTCGTCCAGCCATGCTGCTGGCCCCCAAGCTACCCACATTCAAATGGCTGGAGATCAGAGCTAAACCTGTCTGCCAGGATTTGTGTCAGTACCACAGGGAAAGCCGTTTGCTGAAGAGCACCTTTAAAGGCTGGTGACCACAAAGGCCCAAGTTCTGTGTCCCTGTCTGCAAGCGGCCAGGACACAATAGACAGGCCCAGCTTTTATTTAATCTGGAAAAGAGTGATTCTCTTCCTCTTAAAGCTGAGGTGGTAATGAAGGACATAGGGGAGCTCTCAAGGCAGCTGGGTCAGACAGCAGGAGATAATTTGGAATCAAGAGCATCATGGAATGATGATGTAAAACATCAAGGCTTCAGGCATTCAGTTCCGCTAAGAAAAGGAATATGGGAAAAAGTCGAGATCGTTAAGGACCTGGCCTTTATCGGAGGACTGTGTGTGCCGGTGTGCACCGTGCATTGCCTGCCTGACGTCTCGGCTCCCTGCTGCGGACCCCAAGGGCCATTGGCTCAGCCAAGGCAGCACTTGCTCTCACAGCATTGTAGGCAACTGCTGCTCTACCCACAGGGAAAAACCTAAAATACAGCAGAGATCATCAGTCTGTGTCATCAGCCGCGGTACATGCTGCTCAGCTGACAGCTCTGTGAATTGGATGCTGTTTTTGTGAACCATCTGAGAATGAGGGAGCATGAAATTTAAGAAACCTCACTGCTCAGCCCATGGCATCACACACTAGAGGGAAGAAGCCATTGCCTGTGCCTCCCGTATTCATTTATGTGCCAGTCTGTGCTTCTCATGATCCTTCTTCTCTCAAGTGATGCTTCTTACATGAACCTGTCACAAAAAAGCATATGCTTGCTGCTGTAGATAGGAGCTAAAAACAGTTTTTATTCCTGGTGGGTTTTTTTTTTTCTTGAAGAAGAAAGAGAGCTTTTGGGACTGGGTTGGTCTTTTTTATGTTTGACCCAAAAAGATGCAGAAAAAGGTGCCTGTCTCAGGTTTGGGATGGTAATGCTTGTTTTGTTTCTCATTGTCCTCCAGCTCAGAAGTAATACGGGCGGAGTATGCCCTATTCTTACTTTCCTATGTAAGCTCCTGGAAAATATGAGGAACAGATCATATTATCATCATAGGGAATAAGATCTACAGGGACTTGTCTGCTCTTAGTCAGCAGAAATTTCCTAACAGAAGCACACCACTTAAATTTGACCCCAGCCATTATTCTGTGTTCTGTGCATGGGACACAGGGTGGTTCATCATCCTGCACATCATGCTTCTCATAGTCAGCTGGATGATCAGCCTGGGAGTTTTCCATTGGAAAACCCAGCCTAGAGAGGGATAAGCTGTATGGGCTGTTCCTTGGGCCTCACTCCCTTACAGTGACAGGACTAAGCCTTTCAGATTATCTCCCTTCCTTTTGTGTCTTTTTGCAGCTCACTGAAAGGCCGCAGCATCACATCAGAGGCTCTCGTGATGCGTCGTATTCCATGTTTGTGTGTTATTAATTAGCTCGCAAGCCACTACTTCCAAAGATCAAAGGAGCTGCGCCAGGACATGAGGAGCTTGCTTTTAAAAACATGCCTCTAGCAGCTGTAAGGCAATGGAGCAACCCACTGCCTTTTTATAAACGTACGGTCCTTGGTTTGCATCTCAGCAAACTTGGGAGAGCAGTTCTTCAATCTCAGATTCACACAGAAGCTGATTCTTCTACTGTTCATCTAGAGTGGATTCCACTTCCTCATATTTCTCTTAGATCTAGTAAATCTTTCACTTTTTACTAAAGGTGTAAGTCCAATTTACTTTTTATCAGCCTGGGAAAGCATGCTCACGGGATTCACACTGCCACATGCTCAGAAGAAAGAAGCCAGTGCTTATCCTGCCCTTGCAGGGGCTGCTGAATCTGTGTACATTCCAGGAGCATCCTTCCCATTGCTCATTGCCTAAGCCCCTAGCTAATGTGGGCATCTGCCCTGTGCCGGGAGCAGTGTCTCAGCCATGCCTGTGCTGAGGAGTAGAGAGAAGATTCCTCCTGTCCCATGCATGAGCACCCACCCCGAGACCCAGCCTTCTCCCAGAGTGGCATTTTCAATAGGTAAGTAAGTAACCATCCTCTCTTCTTCATCCAGTGATGCTGCCTGCTCTAAGAGCAGTGGCCAGGATGGCTGTACTCACCAAGCCTCTGAGCGTCACTAATATTGCTGGGCAGGGGGAGGAGGAGGAGGAGTGAGGGATCTACTGCAAACAAACCATGACGAGGCGGCTTTACCAGCTCTTCCCTATGTCATCTCCTCACGCTTTTCTGCTTTTTGTGTAGGCCATTGCCTGTGGAGGCATATACCGAGGAGTAACTTCACGCGCAGATCATTTGATGAGGTTATTCATTTGTGAAGTATTTGCAGCACCCTTGCGTGGCAAGGCTTACAGACAACTAATCTGCATTTCTTATTGCTTCTTGTAAGGGCCAAATATGTTAAAAAAGGATGACAAATCCTCAAGAATTTTATAGGTAGCACACTTCAGAAAAGTAGTGAAAGTTGCTAAGTAACCAGCTGCTGCTTACCTATGAAAATTTATAAGACCGTGGCTTCAAAGAGTGTGGAAATGACTACTTACAGGCGGTGTAAGCCTTCCATTTTCTGCGTAAGGCATAGAGATATTTATCCAAAGAACTACAAATTTTAGCACAGCACAGCAATTTTTCTCAGTCCCAAAATAAATATTTATTTGTAATCACAGTCTTCCTGAAATGGGTTTAAAACATTTGTTTTGATCATCTTCTACAGAAATTCATAATGTTACATTAGCAGTGAGATATGCTTCCCTTAAACTGTGTTCTTCGTTCTGTTGTAGCCTACTCATCAAACACTTCATTTATCTTTTAATCTATTTTAACCACTTTACAGTTATTCAGAGGAAATATTTAGATACAGAAATCAAACCGTGTACATTTTTTATTATTCAGTGTTTAAGTTTATTGAGAGTAAAATCTGCATTTCCATATCCTTGTTAAGACTGTATTGATTATGCTGGTCTGTGGTTGGTGAAGGATATGGCTTCCAAATAATCCTTTTTTTTAGTGCATTAGCTGATATGAACATCACCACCATTTAGCAAACTTTATTTTTGAAGGAGAAGACTGGAGCCTTGAGCAGTGTCTCGCTCAGAATGAGACTGATGGTATTGGCTTCATGGCACTGCACAGGACCCAAACATATGGGGTTTTAGGCTAGTTCATTGGAGAACTTTGGGTCTTAGTTCATGAGTCTAGTTCTCATTGGAAAAGGACTTTTGACAAGGATCTGTAGGAATAGAAGAGGAGGGAATAGCTTTAAACTGACAGAAAGGAGATTTAGATGAGGCATTAGGAAGAAGTTCTTCCATGTGAGGGTGGTGAGGCCCTGGCACAGGTTGCCCAGACAAGCTGTGGATGCTCCATCCCCAGAGGTGTTGAAGGCCAGGTTGGATGGCTCTTGGAGCAGCATGGTCTAGTGGAGGGTGTCCCTGCTTGTAGCAGGGGGATTGGTACTTTGAGCTTTAAGGTCCCTTCCAACCCAAAACATTCTGTGATATGATCATGATATGATCTCTCTTTTGACCTTCAACACATGGAAGTTTTTCAATGGAAGAGTAGATAAATAAGCAAAAACTTTGTGTGCAGTTCTTGAGAACACCAAAGGAGCACATGGGATTTCTTAGTCCCCATTCGTGGACTCTGTAGAAGTCATCTCCAGACCATGATATTGATGACTGTGCTTCAGTTACACAAAGCAGCACCGAGACTATGTGACTACTCCACACAGTGTTACCTTCTTGACATTTTTATTGCATCAAGCCCCAAAAGGTTAATATCTGAAGACTTTTCACAGATTCAGTTAGGGACAGCTAGCCAAAGGAGGGTCACATTTTATTATGTCTTGACTGTTTAAGCCCAAATAGGTATTGTACCCTTCCCAACTCATCTCCTGGAGAGTCTCTGCAGTTTGCCAACGCTGTTGGTTGCAGACTGAGTGCTCGACTCTCTTGTGAATAATGCATTATTTTTTCACATTCCCAGCAGCTCCCAGTCCCTGCCCTGCAAGCAGCATATGGTATAGCCTTCATGTGCTTTATGCTCGTGCTGGCCTGAATGCCTGTTTCATGGCCAGCACTGGAACACGTATGTGTAGCCACAGCCTGTATTTCTAAATTAATCATGCCTGTTTCAGCCATTTCCATGGCACAACACAGGACTGTGCTATTTTGACAGCAAGTTAGGCTACAGCAACACCTGCGCTGGCAGTGTTCATCACCAGCGCAGATCTTCCAGAGCACAGTCTCCAGTGTCCTTGAGGACTGCATAAAATATTGGGAAAGTGTTCCAGGAAATTATGGAAGCCATGAAGAATTTAGATATTTTCCCGAGTTTTCTGTCCTCGCCCACATTCTGTCTTCATTGGCTCCCTCTCCTTTTTTCCGACAAACACAAACCTTGAGCCACTTTTTTTAAAGGTCCTGCAAAAAACTTGAGTGCTCTGTTCCTTTTGCACTTCCTCTCTGACATGACAGCCATGGTTTTAAATAACAGATGAACAACCTTGTAAATCCATTCAGTGTTTTCTCTGCTGTCAGCATCTGAAGCTGTATCGTTAATTAATGATTAATTCTCAGATGCAGTCAGTAATTGTTTCCATCACCACCCCACATCATTCTCCCCCTGGGATGACTCTATACCTTTTTTCCCCTGCATACGTCAGTGAAGTCTCAAGGGCTCAATTTGGAACTAGAATTACTGTTCTCCTCCTTCACCCGATTGCCACTGTGAGTCCCTTTACGAGCATGTACACACCGTGACTTGTAGCAGTTACATAGTCCTCTTGGCAAGTGGTGATCCCTGCTGCAAATTGCTAATGGTCCTTCGTCCTCACTCATGAGCTGGCTCTGAAGATCTCTGGATGATTCTCCTGTAGGTGGGAGGGATGTCTGGAGGTCCCCGGTCCAGCCTCCTGCCTGGAGTAGGTCCAGCTGGAGCAAGTTGGGCGGCTTCCTTCCCTGGCTCTGCTGACTGCTAACACACCCCAGGAGGTGGTTGACCTTTGCTGCGAAGGGATGTCACTGGCTTCTCTTCCATGGAGTTTGGCTTGCACCTTCTGCAGCAATAATGGGGCAGGAGCAATGTGTCAGGGAGGCTGGGAACTCAGTTTTGGACTTTTTTCCCTAGGGCAAATTCATTTGTTGACTCAACATAGCATTACCCTGTAGTGAGTAATACCTAAAATAAGTGCCGTATAACAGCCCACATTCTCGTGGTTGGGCACCTTGCTTGCATCAAGAGGAACACATCTTCCTGGAGAGATGTATTGCTTTTAAAAACCTAGTCTAGTGGAAGGTGTGGGACTGAGTGTTCTTCAAGGTCCCTTCCAACCCAAACAGTTCTATGATTCTATGATAAATATGGACCTTCTCATGCTGTTGCCAGGACTGGTCAGGTAAAGTCTGAGCCAAACCATGAAACAAATGCGGGTGTTTCCTGGGTCTAAAAGAACAGTTTTGGCTTTATTGAATAACATGAGTTGCAAGCTCAGAGAAATCAGATTTTTCAGTAACTGCGTGATACTGTAAGAAACTGTTTTCTCTTTGAAAGTCACAATGTTCTGTTAGTGCATTTTTGTTACTTATCTTTTCCGTGAAACAGGTGTTTTTTTCCTCAAAGCAGCTTTTTTCAGGTGACTGAAACATTTCAATTCCTCGGGAAAACTACTTTTCCTCTACCATTGTTTTTTATGCACTCCTCCAAGTTTGTGTCATCTGAAACATAGAAAATGGAAATGGTTTTTGTTTAAAAACATCCCCAAGGCTGGGAACTTTACTCTTCAATGAATACTTCTGTTCTCAGAAGATATTTACATTTGCATAGCAAAGGTTCTCGAGCATTCAGAAATGTCAGTATCATGGTACGCATACAGATTTCATTGCGGTCTTCAGTTCACACACCACACCTGTTCTGAGGACTAGACTATAGGCAGTATGGGACATAGAAAATGTGTGAGATTGGAGTTTGTTTGCGCGTTGAGCTCTCCCCTTCCCAAGCCTGCCCTCACGAAGATGGGTGACCACCTGTGCAGCTGCACTGTACCAGAGCTGGCCTCGAGCTCCGCAAACACCCAGGGAGGCAAAGGATGGGCACAGTTTCTCAGGGCACTTGGGTCCCTGATGTCCCAGTCCGGAAGACCCTTGGCTCTCTGGCTGTGCTGTGTAACAGTGCTCCTTAGGGAAGGATTGATGGTGTTATCTCTTGGCTTTCTAAGACTGGCATAGACCCATACAGGCTCCCTCTTGCCACCTAAATTTCTTTTCCAAAAGTTCAGAAGTCCATGTTGGAAAATTGTCTGAGCAGGCCATGGACTTCTAAAGGCGAGTGACTTTTTAACCATATAGTCTGACATTCTTTTATCATAGGACATTTAACCTGGTTAATTCAGGTCTTGAGTCCAGTAAAATTCCATTTTGTGTTAAACTGTTGAACCAGAAATGTCTCTGACATTATTATGAAAACACGATGACACAAAGGATCCACTGGTTTGCATTCCAAGTTATCCCACTGCTGTACCACATGTTGTTGAAAAACACCTTGTCTCCATTCCAGGGTGTAAGTATCTGGCTTCAGCTGGGTTTGATTTATTTTTCCTTGCTAGATTAAACATCTCTGGTATTCTGTGTTTTCATCCTGTGAATGTATCTACCTACTTAGACAATAAAGTCAGCTCTTAATTACCTTTTGGATGACCTAAGAAGGCAGAGGTCTCACAGTCTTTTCAAATGTTTAACTAATGCCTCTGTTTGGCTTTTTTTCTTGTGAGCACCTTTTCCTCCAGGCTCTCTGTTTTACAATATGGTCTCTCAAGTATTTTGCTCAGGTATTCCAATATCATCACCATTAGTACCCTCGGTATGTACTGGCTCCACTTTTGACACAGCAGCCCACTGAATGATCATCAGTTGTAATCCTTCAATTTCTGGCTATTACACTCTCCTATCAGCTGCTTCTATTATTTTGTTTGTTTTTAACGTTAGACTAACTGATGATAGCTACCCAATCATTCTGCTTTCCCTTTT